CAAGGCCCTTGGGGACCAGGCAAAAGCTCCGATATCATATCACCACGGATATACATTGCCACGACAGGTACGTCATGGCCCTTTTTGTGATCCACAGTCTGGGAAGGATCAAGACCAAGGTGTGGGCCCATGGCTGTTTTCTGAGTCAAGCACTCCACGCGGTTGTCACTGCCATCATCAAAAGCCAGCCATGTGGTACCCGGACCCGCTGGGCGAAGGATGCTAAAGAACTTGCCCGAGGTGCGGCGGCCACGATGAACAATATAGCCATAAAGGACATACTTGCTACCCTGGCCATCAACCACCCACGGAGCCAGATCGAGCTCTTCGTCAAGCTCCACTTTGTCATAGCGCAGCTGCCAGCGTTTGGCCTTGTCCAGAGTATGCCGGCCGAACTCAACATGAAGCAGTGATGGAAGCGACCAACGACCGGGCTTAGCACTCAAGTATCCACTAACGGCTTCGGACGTGGATTTGGCTTGATCAACTGGCACGTAAATACGCGAGTTGAAGTCCGTCGGCAGCATGTTCACAGTGGTCTTACTGTCAGAAGACGGACTATGTACAATCGGGCTGTCAAAGAGGTGAGCAAATTGTTTGCCGGCCTCCATTCCTTTCAGCTCCAGCTCCAAGGTGCGACGCAGGCGCTCCCAAAATTCGGACACATCGTTCGAAAACTCGTGCAGATTGCGTAGAGTGGTAGTGACGGCGTCCGTATCGACATAGCTTGGGGAGAGTGTTCGGCGGCGAAGCTGCCACAGAAGCCTTTGTAGAGCGTCACAGAGAGGCTTCGGCCTAGCATCGGCGTTGGTGAGATGTTCAAGTACGTTAATACTTTGAATGATCTTGCAAAATGGAGCAATGTGCAGCCAGGAGGCAAGCCCGGCTACTTCTGGGCTATGATTGATGATCGAGTCCCCCAGAGGTCGATAACCGGTCAAGGCCATGCTGTCCCAAGTTGGCTCGGAATCGCTTGGGTGCCACCATAGAGACTTAGTGGGGTCATTCACTACACGAATGTAGGCGTCAAATGAGAGCGTATCGTCGTTCAAGAGGGCACGATGTTGACCACGCCGGCGGGAATGGATTTGGTCCCATGGGCCGTGGAAATATGTCCACCCCCAATCCAGGTTGTGGGTGTTGAATTGATGACAAGAAGATTGCATCCACCCAGTGCGTGGCTCTTGTGGGTTGTATACAATGACACCGACCTGCGCAGGCACACGCCAAGAATCCGAGGTTCCATGCTCAGATTCGGGGTTGTTCCTAGTCGCGGAATATTGAGACTTGTAGTTCTCAAACCATGCTGCCGCGTCGTCCATGGCTGTAGTCTTTATTTGAACCTCCGGGTTGCTTTCATCCAGCGAAGCATCGGCTGGGCCTCGACGGACCGTAAATTCCATCTCGGGAAGCTTGCCCTCTGGAGCGGGCATTGTGGTGGAGCATTCGAGGTAGACGCTCAATGCATTGACATTGTTCCCCCGAGGGTAGAACTTGATTCGCCACCAATAACCCCCAATAAATGCTGGTGGGGAGCGAATGACTTTGTCCCGATTGGGGTTCTCAGGGGTGCCCCGAACACCCTTGAAGGTCCACGTAAGACGGGCCTTTTCGGTGGGAATGTATTCGGGATCTCCCAAATCCCGAAAGAAGTTTGTTTCCCAATACTTATCTGTTACGGGGTCAGTAAAGGGATGTTCCGTGAGCTTATTTGCCAAGTTGACACCTACGATCACTGGCACTGTAATCCGAATCACCGCCATCAATCTCTTTCATCTCGTCCTCATCTGGGACCGTTGTGTCCTCCTCGTACTCTGCCCAATATGCATGTTCCAGCTCTTCTGAGGGCGGTATTGGCGCGGGCTGAGTTGAACGTGATGATTCGGGAGATTGGTTCTCGATCTCTGTATTTCTCACCGTATCCTCAATCCCCGAGACCGTCAAATTGGGTAAAGGGTCCATGGCCTTTCAATTGGGAAACCCAATTGTTCCAATATGTTTAATATACAGGCGAGGTCCCCTGTATAAAGATAAGGGCTTATCGGATAAGAAGAAGGTTGCGGCCCCAGAGTGGAGAGAAGGGGTCCGAGAGAGAGCCCTAAAAAGAATGAATAGGAGTTATGGGAGATAAGAAGAGACGAAGAAGAGGCGAAGAAGAAGAGAAGAAGAGAAGAAGAGGAGAAGGAAAGAAGAAAAGAAGAAGAGAAGTCAGAAAAAAAAAGAAAAAAAGAAAAAGAAAAAAAAGGAAAAAGATAAGAAAAAGGACGAGTCCGGGGGTAGTGGGTCTGTATACAAAGGGTACTCCGTACACATAGACTGGCTAGGCTTATGTGTATGGACTGGACATTTTATGTACTATGTACTCCGTAGTGTATGCATATAGGGTTAAAACCCTTATATCAGCTGATATCTAATATTTGACCTATATATGTTGTACACTTGTACACAAAGTCGGTGTGAATCCTGGTGGCAAACTCGGCTTATCGGAATTTCCCCCTTTCCCGAGGTCGCCACTAAGCCTTTGAATCCCTGGGTTCTGTTTCAGGCACGGGAATATCAGGGACGGAGGCATGTCATACCTACCTCTTGTACGGAGTACTTCGTACGGAGTACAGATTGTAGGGATCCCAATCCTGAAATCGCGCGATCAAAGGGGCCTTGACTCTCCCAACTGGACCACTTTTCGTGGATACTGATTGGCTCTGAAAAGAAAACCATTTCTAGACCGCGGGTTCCCGCATTGCTTGGCAATAAGTCCCGGTACCGAGACTCGAGTGAAATCAATTTTGTTCGGCACGAGCAAAGGAAGCAGCCACAATCATAGGGAATACCGCCGTGGCCTCAGCATAGACCTAAATTATCAAAAAGTTAGCTCGGCCTCAAAAAGATAAGATATTAGACTCACCTTGACAGATTTGGCATCCACCTTGATCTTGCCCCAGCTCACCGCTTCATCCGGCCGTGCACCCGCATCACTGCCATCGAACTCTTGTGCGGTATTCACATACACGGCGTGCTCGGCCCCATTGCGCATCAGGCATGCATTGGCGATGTGGTGCTTGACCAGCCCACCACCCAAGATGATCATGCCGGCACGTGTCGCCCGGACAGCCATGGTGTTTATACGGCGCACATCATCCACAATATCCACCCGGAGTCGTTGCGGGGAAGACTTGAAGGTGTGGAAGTAAAGCATGTCACCCAGAGATCCATCCGTCAGGGCGGGACAGAATACGGGGATTCCATTCCGGGCCGCCCAGTACAGAACTGAATCCTCGTCGTTGATCTCACGACCCAGTCGCTCGGTGATGCGGCTCGGCGTCCAGTGCACCTCGTCTTCCTCATCCCCAGTCTCCCGAGCCTTGACCTTTCCAGCCTCCTGCTCCTCCAACATCTTGTCCAAAATGGGCACCACCCAGTCCTCAAAGGCACAGTAGTTATTGTTGGGCACGAGAAGGTTGCCAATGCGGTTGAGACCCTTAGCACGAAGTCCAGCACCGGGAGTCGAGAACGATCCGAGATATGTGGGGGCCAAGCATTTGATCAAATCCTCCTCCACACCCCCAGCAGTGGTCACAATGGCGGACACATGGTTATGCTTCACTAAATAACGTAGGGTGTCACGAAGACCGGACGAAATCAGGTTCGATGTATAGCCGAGGAATATGGTGGTTTTGTTTCCCGTTTCGGGATCACGGAAGGCGCGCTAAGGAAACAGAGCATTAAGACTCTATTGACCAATTTCCAAGATTGCAACTATGTTAAGGCGTACCATTTCATTGATGATTTGAGCAGCTTCTGCGACCGCACTGCCCTGGAAACCGGTATGGATCATGCTGTCCACCATCTCTGCGACGGTGATATCTCGTCCCTGAAACTTATCAAAATCTACCCCGCTGACCACCTGGGATCCCTCTGGGACTGGTTGCGAGCTTTGGAGGACGGAGTCGGTCACCGAGGAGGGAACTGCGGAAGGTTGTTGGGCGCTCATCTTTGCGATGGGATTGGGAAGGGAAGAAGAGAAAAGAAAAGAAAAGAAAAGGGAAACAGGTGTCACAAATCTGTTCCAGAAGGATAGACAAGAAAAGCAATTCAAATAAAAAGAAGCTCGATTTGTAGAAGAGAGAGGGGCAGTCGATCTTTTTTTTTATTCGGCGGGGAAACTGCATGAGCCTGGGCCTTGATGCCTGAGTGCCTTGGTGCCTTACTTTGATATTTGCCTCTGGCGTATATTCCTTGATGCCATTTTACTTGGACTGACAAGTTTGAATGATTGTATCATACTTTCTCTTTATTATTCTGTTTTATTCTACTTTCTATATACTTCATTTCTAGACTTCATTTCTATACTTCATTTCTATACTTCATTTCTATACTTCATTTCATGTATACCTACGGAGTACTAAATGTACCTGAATAGAGTTAGGAGGCACATCCACCGCACTAGCGTTCAATCGGGTTAGTGCCGAGCCCCTTGAAGTCTCACGAACTCATCTTCCTCTATTTCCTATTCTTCCTCGATTTCCTTCTTCCTTTAGTGCATAACATCCGGCGCAAGGGAGCTCGCATCAATTTTTTGTCGATCTTCCAACGTGCTAGTGTTTCCTGTTATCCACGTTAAATCCCATCTCGAAACCTATTAACCTGTTAACCTGTCAACCTGTCAACCTGTCAACCTGTCAACCTGTCAATCTAACAACCTGTCAACCTCAAATTTGGATTCATTTGAATCTGAATCTACAGAGGAAACACAACAAAAACAACGTGATATTGAAAAAAAAAAAAAGAAAAAAGATTACGCCTTACCCGATCGGGGGACCCTTTAATTCTTCATATGGTCCGTGCATTGCTTGTCACGTGCAGACCCTCCCGAGTGTTCTCCATCTCTGGGTATGTGTGATGGATTCTGCATTCCAACCGCCTTGGGCTGATTTGCACTGTACATTGAACGTGCTGGAGCGCTAACCCAGTCTATAGCTTCATGATAGCATGACGCGATAATGTCCTCCCGATTCCCCCCATCGTCCGGGTTCAATTCCCGTGACCGTTCTCCGCAGCGATTTGGAGACCGTCGCCCCCCGGTCGGTCCTCGTGGTCCTGACGACGGACCTGCACCATTTGGCAGAGATCCACCGCGTGGTCCAAGGGCCCTTGTTGACTCCCCTCGTGGTGGCCATTTTGGTGGTCGTGGCAGGGGGTATGGCCGTGGTGACTTTCGTGACCGTGACCGTGATCCACGAGACCGCGACCGAGATCGTGACTTTCGAGATAACCGCGATGGCCCACCGTTTCGCCGAGATATGGACCGCGACTGGGCTCGCCGCGACCGTGATTTCGATCCCCGAGACAACCGGATTGGTTTTGGCCGAGGCCGCTCAAGATCACCGACACGCGACTTTCGAGACATAAGGGAGCCCCCGGGGCGCGATTTTGATCTGGTTCGCATGCGACGCAACTCGAGGGATAGTATCATATCTGCATCTTCAGGAGGCCCAGAAGGTCCCCCCATCAATAGTGGCCATATACACCGAGGAGGCATGCGAGGGCGCGGTCGCGGAGATTGGGAAGGTGGCCGCGGTCGTGGTCGTCCACCCTTCCTCGATGATCGTGATCTTTTCCGTCGCCGCAGTCGATCCCGTGAACAGTGGCGTGGACGTGATCGAATGGTAGATCGCGATAGAGATCGAGACATGGAACGGGATCGTGCATTAGATCGCGATCGGATCATGGACCGAGATCGTGACCGAGAACTTCCACGTCCGAGAGATCGAGATCGAGAATTAGATCGCGACTTGGACCGTCGAGATCGCTTTGAACGTCGTGAAGATTGGGACAACCGACGACCTGATCGCGAGGACCGTGATCGCCCCGTGGACTTCTGGAAACGAGACCGCCCCCCAAGTCGTGCAGATAGCCGCGCAGCCAGCGGCTCAACCACTTCCTCACACCCTCCTACAGCACCCGGCCCTGGACCTGGATCAGCTCTAGCAGATCGACTGTCTGATCATCCCCAAATGGATCATGGTCGGAAACCTTCAACCATTCCCAGCATTCCGGTCCTAGAACCTACGCGAGATCCTGAGCGAAACGACCTTCTCGCCGCTCGAGCTAGTGCTGCTCGACCTGGTGCCATTAGACAGGATGTTGCTCGCCCCGATGCTTCTCGACCTGACGTCATTAGACCGGATGCTGCTCGCCCTGATGCTCCTCGATCTGGCGCTATTAGACCGGATGCTACTCGCCCTGATGCTCCTCGCCCGGATGCTGTCCGACCGGATGCCGCTCGACTAGATGTCTTCCGCCCAGACGATATCCGCCCGGATGTAGTTCGATCAGATACTCTTCGCCCTGATCATCCTCGAATAGATGCTCCTCGACCAGATGCTCCTCGACCAGATGCTCCTCGACCAGATGCTCCTCGACCAGATGCTGTTCGACCGGATGCTCTTCGCCCTGATCCTCCTCGAATGGATGCTGTTCGACTGGATGTTGCTCGCCCTGATCCTCCTCGACTGGATGCTGTTCGACCGGATGTTATTCGTCCTGACGCTCCTCGACTGGATGCCCCTCGACCGGATGCTCCTCGCTCTCATCCTCCTCGACCGGATGTTATTAGCCCTGACGCTACTCGACCGGATGTTGTTCGCCCTGATGCTATCCGACCGGATGTTATGAAGAACCCACCTAACATTCGGAACTCACCACCTCCAGCTGCGCCCCAGGTGCCCGCCTTTGGCTCGGTAGCTGCACCCACCACGAATGCTTCAAACAAAGATTTTCCAGACCAACGCACGGCGCCCAATTCCAATTTCCCCACAGAGAGAGACCGACATGAAGCCCCTCAACGGCCACCAGTCCAACCTCCTACAGGGCCCAAGGCAGAAAGAACCGACATCACACAGCAGCCTCTTGAGCCTCGCGGCCGCTTCGAAGGACCTCGGGAGGTTAGCAAGCAGCAAGTTGCGCCTCCTCGCCTCTCCAAACCGACTACCAATCTCCCTGATGTATCACCACCCACTGCTCCAGCTGCCATGACTCGGCCAGATTCGGGAATAGGGCCCAACGAAGGATTTGGGGCCGGCAGGTCGAACTCACTCACCTCTTCCCCTACTTTTACACGAATTCCACCGCCTGCTCCACGCGAATTATCCCGTGAGCCCTCTATGTCGCCACGAATGCAATCGTCTGGCATTCCAACCGGCCCTCGAGCATTGCAATGGAATCCCTCACCGCGTGGCCGTAAAGGCAGCAAGCAATGGGTGCGACCTGGCTACGGCCGAACGCCTTCTATTCCTAATGCACTACCGAAACAAGAGCCCGTCGATGAGAGCGAAGGTGTTACCCCTGCCAATGAAGCCACGCGACCTCTATTACCACCTGAGATAGACGAGCCTGAGAGTGGCGAGATTCTTCCCCGTGAACCCGCGAAGGAACCCTCGCCTGTTTCCCCGTCATTGAACCTCCCATTACAGCGTAGCTTACCGGCTGTTGACATTCAAACAAATGATGCCAATGAACCCTCTGAGAAGGGCGGCATTGACAAGCCCGCATTGATACCAGACTTTGAAGGCTCAAGTGACGAGGAGGACGGGGAGAACATTGTCTTTACCCAGGAGTATCTTGATGAAAGAAAGCGGATCTTTGAAAAGGATATGGAATCACTCCGAGCAGAATTGCCCCTATCACCTTTGGAAGATTCGGCCATCGTCGCTCTTTTGCTCAAAATCCAGCTACTCGGCATGGTAGCCAACGAACAGACAGTTGAACCTCCCCCAGAACCACTCGCAGAACAAGTATTAGAGCGACCCGTGGATCCTTTGCCTTCAGTAGAGGTTGAAGAGTCAGCCGATCATCCAAGCACCGAGCGAGTGGTCTCTTTTGCTTCTACGCCACCCGAGCACGAACCAGAGCCAGTTGCAGAAACTATCATCCCCCCTGTGGTACCTCCTGACGAGGTTACTATCGAAAGTCTTCCATTCTTGCACTCAGGTCCTCCAACACCTATTTCAGATATGGATGTATACCATGATAATATTGCGACCCAAAATCGTCTCCGAGACGCGTTCAGCACACAACTTTCAAAGGTACAAGCGGAAACTTTTAGGAAAAACGCAATCCTTAGGGACGAGTACGTGTCTCACTACAAGCTCTGGCGAATGGCTATTTGGGAGCTCGATCGTATGAAGGACAAGAAGTCCGTGACCCCTGGTCCAGCTTCTCCGCCAGTTTCCACTGTTCCAACTACCCCGGCACCCATGCCAGAAGGCCGTGAAGGCCGTCGGTATAAAGGAAATAGCGAGCTCGATTTTCTCAATGCTTTGAAGGCCTCCGAAATCTCCGCCCAAGAAGAGCTTGAACGTCGACGAATCAAGATGGCTACTGCTCGGCCCGATTTGGGCCGTGAAGCGATCATTCCGAATATGCTGGAACCGCGGGAGGTAAAGGCTCGCATCTACAAAGATGTGAACAACACCATTGAGTGCAATAGGGCTCTGGACGTTTTCGGCTTCGCTCCGCCCCCTAATGACTTCACCCCGGAGGAGCATATGATCTTTACGGACGCCTTCATGGCGCATCCAAAACAATGGGGCAAGATTGCCGAATCTTTGCCTGGTCGAAATTTCCAGCAGTGTATCGTACATTATTATCTCACCAAGGAGGAGATTAAGTACAAGGCCAAGCTCAGCAAACGCTGGAGTAAGCGCAAGGGGACCCGAAAGGGTCCACGACCGAAGTCCAACGCCCTCATCGCAGACTTGAGTGTGGTGAAACCTGACTTTGTTGGTGAGGATGAGCCACCCGCTGTTACAGACACCGGTCGTCCACGACGTGCGGCTGCGCCTACGTTTGGCGAGTCAGCCGAGGCAGAAAGCGTTCCAGTTGGCCGTCGGACCCAGCTTGGCAAGGACGGTGAACCAGTGGAAAGATCATCTCGGCGTGGCGGACGGGGCGGAGGTACTCGCGGTGGACGGCGCGCGAAGACGGCTACTCAATCGGATCCGAAGGCCCAGGTGGTAATGCCACAGGGCAATCTGCCTCCAATTGTATCGCCAGCGCCACTTCATCCTGGAAACGAGATGGAATTGGTTTCAGATCACATCATGGAAGGGTATGAGGCCCGGGAACGAGAGCGGGGCGAAAAAGAATCTTTAACGCCAATCCCTCGAGGCAGGGTGGGACGCGGACGAGCAAAAGAAGGAGTTTATGTCTTTGAGTCTACTGAAGTTGAACCGCCTCTGGCAAGCAAGCAGCTGGAGACTGGTTATGGCTCCTTGCAGCCAACGAGTTACTGGTCTGTACCGGAGCAGCGCGATTTCCCAGGCTTGTTGGGACATTTTGGTCGTGATTTCGAGGGTATCTCGGGCTGGATGAAGACTAAAACAACGGTGATGGTATGTATTGGGTCCTTTCGTCCCACGTTTGTGACTAGTCGACTAGCCGGCTAACGTGCATGACCCAGGTCAAAAACTTCTATCAACGCCGCCTGGACTCGGGCCAGAAAGACTTTGAGTTGATTTTAACGGATGCAGAGGAGAAGAAGGCTCGCGGTGAGCCTACAGGGCCGCTTCCCATTCCAAGTGTTGCACCAAAGCGACGATACGAGGCGACTCCGTCTTCTATTATCCCTCGTCCACTTGCCCCTCATGGGGATCCTATGGCTGAGGTCGATGAAATAAGATTCCCCAAAGGCAAGGCTGTTGGTCTCTCACCGCAGCCGATGTCTTTGCATGGGCGACCTCCATCCGACAAGGAGCGGAATGTCGGTCGCTACCAGCCACTCGCACAAGCTTCTGCTGCTTCACCAGTGCCCTCTACTGCAACTCTGATTGAAGAGTCGACTCGGGCAATTCGCGCGCAAGGAGGGCAATCCCACCGCATTCAGGGCCCACGTCTTGGGTATTTTACAGAGGACAGACGAGACTCTTCGGTACTGCCCCATGCCACTTCCCGTACGCAAGAACTACCAATGTCATCGCGCCATCCTGGCTCCATGCCACCGGATATGGCACGAATGGAACCCTTGTCCGCACAAGGCTATATGCCGGCACAGCAGCCAACTTCTCTACTTTCAGCGACCCACTCACGTCACCCAAGCTTAACACAAACCCCCGGCTCGCCAACCCAGCAGCTTAGACCAGAACTTGACATCTCATCTGTTCACCGCGATCCTTTTGCCCAAAGACCCTATTACTCGCTCGCAGGTCAGCCCATGGGTCTAGCTCAGTCGCCTCACCCTGGGTTGTCGCCAGTGAAGGATGTCCCTCGCCCGAGTGCTACTCCTGGTCCCGACGCAACTCGTCAGGTGCCTGCCAAACGGTCCAACATCATGAGCATCCTCAATGATGAACCTGAAGAGCCTCAGCCGCGCAAACGATTTGCCAGCGAGCAGGCTCCATCTGCCCCTGGCGCAGCCCCAGGCATAAACCCAAGGCCTGTATACCAGACTGGAGCACCCCCTCGCCATGAAGACACTATCATGTCAGGTATGTCACAAAAGCCCTCTGGTTACGCCCAGCAAAGCCAATATCAGCCATCATCTCGTGGCTACGAGTATCCTGGCTACGGACCCCCTCATGGTGGCTCGGGCACGTCGGCGAATAACGACTGGATGGCACGGTTTGATCCGCGAGCGCAACAAACACCGCCGCAACCCCAAGCCCAATCACTCCCATCACAGCAGCAGCAAAGCGGCCGTCAGGGTTCCTATTCATCTTACGCGGCAAACCCCAGCCAGTCTTCGATGCCTTTGACGAATCTTCCTGCGCCATCCCCAGCGCCGACTCCCCCCCCAACAAGTGCCTCTCAACGATCGGCTTATCCCAATGTTTTCTCCCAAGCCTCCTCTGCTCAACCACCCATGACCTCTGGCTCCCGAGATACGGCTTCGCAACCGACTTCCTATCGACAAGGGTCACCTGGCCCGCGTTCCAGTATGGCATATGGATCGCGACAAGATCCACCAACACCAGCGCAGTCTTCGGCTAGCTTGTACGGTATGCACCAGCGCCAGTCCGCAACGCCAAATGCAGTACAGTCACACAGCTATCAACAACATGTGCAAACAATGGTCAGTGGGTCGCATCAGCCGCAATCCCACCGCTCAACACCTGTCAACTTACCCGGTGCTTCTTCACAGTACGGGCACAACACCCCTCCTCCCCAGTCCCAGGCTGGCCGGTCAATGGCATCGCTGGCGAGCCTCGGTCGTTCATACACTCCTCCATCTGCTCTACATCCCTCTATGAGTGGAGGCACCATGGGTAGCTATGCTCCCCCTCAGTCATCCACGCCTGGATCGATACCGCCGCTCCACCAACGACCTCCAGGATCGCATGGTGACACTGTCCCCACCCCGACACATCACCGTGTTTACAGCCATGGGTCAGCTCAAGGTGGACTGCCGCCTCCTTCGCAACCTCCTCGGTAGGGTACCATGTTCGATTGATTTAAATGAACTTGATATGGAGTGTAAGACCGTAATGGGATCGGTTGTACATTAATTTGTCTTTTTGTCTTTCTTTTCTCTTGTTTAGCGTCCTGGCGTCTTTGCCAGTGAGGATATTCATTTGATCATGGTTTGTATGTATAACTAGATGAATGATTTTATGTGTTAAATCTTGATGGAATGGATGTACAAATTTGTAGTTGATATTTACAATGTATTTCTAGTTGATATTTACAATGTTTCGTGAAAACTGGATTGATGCCCTGTCACCAGACATTTCATTACCGGTCCATCTGGTTCATATGGCTGGGCAGGTTCCACTCGTCATAGTCCAAATGCACAAAGGCACGGTCAACAGTAGGCACACTCTCGATGATATACTGCAAACTCTCGCCAACGTCATGACTATCCCGCAAACTGATCTTTTCATCCACGACGAGGTCAACCTCAACGTTCAGCTTGTCACTTGCATAGTAGGCTTTCAAGTCCTGAATCTTGTGAATGACTCGGGAGAAGCGCATGGTCATATATAGCAAAATGCTATGATCGTCGGGAGAGGCAGCTGCACCTGTCAACCGCCGGATGTATTCCGCAGCCGTCTGACCCCAGTTCCACATGATGTAGAAGGAGAGGAACAGACCACCCAAGGGATCCAAGTACCAGAGATTTGCAAAAGTGCCAACTGCGACTACCTGTTAGTTGGTGCCCCAGTAGCGAAGATGCATAAGAAAGAAGGAATGAGACTTACTTAATGGGAAGATGATGCTGAATATGTTGAAAACAACGTCAGTCATGGCATCCTGGGCCAAGACCTGGACGCTTGGGCTAGGAATCAACCGGCACCAGATCCAGCAGAGCAGCTTAACTAAAACAGTACCACCCATCAAGACGATCGATGTGGTGGATAACTCAACAACCGTGCGATCATCTCCAATCAATTGTTTCATAGACGACAGTGCGACTTGGAAAAAGGAAGTCACCATGATGACTGAGAAGATCAACACACTGATGGGCTCTAACCGCCGGCGGCTGATGGGATACCGGTTGCGATCTTGTCGGCGGATCATGATGGTGGTTACCCAGACAATCACTGTGCTGAGAAAGTCCAAAACTCCATCAACTAGGCCTGCTAGCATAGACATGGAGCTAGTCATTGCCATGATAGCGATCTTGGAGCCCAGGAGAGCAACGTTGGCGACGAAATTGATGCGAATGGCCAGGTTGATGACGCGCTCCTCGTCATCTGGGGACATCCCGCCGTGCGACTCCAGATCAAGGAATGGCTCTGATGGGCCGTCTTCTTGCCCGGGGGATTGGACCAAGGGTGTTGTCTCATCGGGAATCCGATAAAGATTGTGCGGGGTGCGTTTGGTCCTTCCGATCTTCGGATTGGGTTCTGGTTCCTGATCATCTTCTAAAGGAAGCATTCCATTTCCCGAAGCATGATTGCATCCATTGTAGTCCTCGATCAGGTTATGGGGTAGCGACGAGTCCAGCAGTCGGTCAATGTAAAGATATTGGGAGATCAGTCCATTGTTTCGTTCATGATATTTCCGACTATGTGTATTAGTTTCCTGGTTCATTGAAATGAGTAGAGAACTCACATTGCCTTTGAGAGACCTTTTAATGACTCGGGTGATTTGTAGTAGCGTTGCCTGCGCAGGTTAGGATTTGAAATTACGTTACCGGGGGAGAAGAGAGAGATACCATTCATATCGAGGATTACTGGATCCAATTAACAACGATCCACGTCGAAGAAATAGCCGTCGTTCAGATGTATCGTCATCAAGATCATGCAAGGCGAGGCTAGATGTGCGAGTAGGTAAGAGGTTCAATAACCGTTGACCTCTGGTGGAAAGGATTTCACGCTCCGGTTCTAGACTTGGGCGTCGCGGACGTAGAATGGGTTCAGAAGGAGGAGAGGAAAGTGGAAGAAATGACTGAGAAGACATTAAAGTGAAACCTGGCTATAGTATTGTGATATACCATGGTGGGTGAGCAGGGGTATCCTGAACTCCCAAGTAAGCTGCCAAGAGTTGATGCCTTAGGTATATAGATTCCTTACATTCAGATCTTTTCCTTTATAACTGTGATAGGTATATTACTATAGATATGTTACTACATATATACTCTGTAGATAATAGAGTAATACAACCATACATGTAAATAGTACTGACTATATGTATGCTCGAGCTGGACCCCTTGTATGAGGATAGTGGCTAAGAATCGTGGCTAAAAAATAGTGGCTGAAGGGCTTCTTCACTTGCTCTTATCTTCTTCATCTTCATCTTCTCTTTCAATAACTAACTAACCAGATTAAATTAGGCATCAAGGCATCAAATATTTACCAGAAATGGGGGTTTGGCAGTTGGCGCCTATACCGCTGGGTACGCGCGGAATGAACATTCCGTCTCTGCGCTGTGGAGATGCACATCTTCCCCGGACTGGTGAGAGTGACCTATAGGAAACTACCTTTGCTGATTCTATATGACTTATGACTGGCTAAAGTGCACCTTCTTTCCCGGCAATAGCCATGCAAGACTCCACGGAAATATGCCCGTCATGAAGCGAGGGTTATAAGAGAGATGTGTGCTGTCACTTCAGTCACAAAATCCATTCTTGTCGATTTTACTCTACCATGGCAGTTCAAACAGTCGCCGTCGCCGTCATCACGGTGATTTATTTCCTCATTCGCTATTTCAATCGTACCGATATCCCTAAGATTAAAGGGATCCCCGAGATCCCTGGTGTACCTATCTTTGGCAACCTCTTGCAATTAGGAGATCAGCATGCAACAGTCACGGGAAAATGGGCGAAGAAATTCGGCCCAGTTTTCCAAGTGCGCATGGGAAACAAGGTACGTCGCTTTTGAAGTTGGACTTAAGAATTTATAATCTAATTCCCCCCGATAGCGCATCGTGTTCGCCAACAGCTTTGAATCTGTCCGTCAATTATGGATCAAGGACTCGTCCGCTCTGATCTCCCGCCCCACATTCCACACCTTCCACAGCGTCGTCTCCAGCTCACAGGGCTTCACGATCGGAACTTCCCCGTGGGATGATTCCTGCAAGCAACGCCGTAAGGCAGCGGCCACTGCGCTGAACCGACCGGCGGTGCAATCCTATATGCCCATCATCGACCTCGAATCAAATTCCAGCATTAAGGAGCTCTACCGCGACAGCCAGAACGGCAAACGTGACGTGAATCCCACTACATACTTCCAGCGATTTGCCCTCAATACCAGTTTGACTCTGAACTATGGGTTCCGTATCGAGGGCAACGTGGATGATGCGCTGCTGCACGAGATTGTGGATGTGGAGCGTGGCGTGTCCAACTTCCGCAGCACCTCCAACAACTGGCAGGATTACATTCCCCTATTGCGCATCCTCCCCAAGATGAACAACGAGGCTGCCGACTTCCGGGGTCGCCGTGATAAATATCTGACGTATTTGCTCGATATGCTCAAGGATCGCATCGCCAAGGGAACGGACAAGCCTTGCATCACTGGTAATATCTTGAAGGATCCCGAGGCTAAGCTGAATGATGGTGAGTGAGAAATGATCGGAATATTGAATTGAATACTGATCTATCGTCTAGCCGAGGTGAAATCGATCTGTTTGACTATGGTGTCTGCCGGTCTTGACACCGTTCCGGGTAACTTGATTATGGGAATTGCCTACCTGGCCTCTGAAGACGGCCAAAGAATTCAGAAAAAGGCCTATGATGCGATCACGGAGGTGTACCCGGACGGAGATGCTTGGGAGAAATGTTTGGTGGAAGAGAAGGTTCCCTACGTGACTGCCCTGGTCAAGGAGATCTTGCGGTTCTGGACAGTCATTCCTATTTGTCTGCCACGCGAGAGCACCAAGGATATCCAGTGGAACGGAGCCACAATCCCTGCTGGCACAACTTTCTTCATGGTATGTTGTTCATTTGCTGTCATATTCGCACTTTGCTAACAGGATATTCAGAATGCCTGGGCTGCCGATTACGACGAAGACCACTTTAAGGATGCCGATAAATTTATCCCAGAGCGTTATATGGAGCTCAATGAGGGCGCAGGCACTCCCCACTACGCATATGGAGCAGGATCACGTATGTGTGCAGGCTCACACCTTGCCAATCGCGAGCTGTTTACTGCTTTTATCCGCCTCATCACTGCTTTCCACATGCACACGGCGAAAGAGGCTGCCGATCGACCAATTCTGAATGCAATTGAGTGCAATTCGATTGCAACAGCCTTGACAACCGAGCCAAAGCCATTCAAGGTCGGCTTTACTGCGCGCGACCCTAAGAAGCTTGAGCAATGGATTGCTGAGAGCGATGAACGCACCAAGGATCTATGAGAGGGAAATATTTTGGATTTCTGAATTGCTATGTGTTGTGATTTGCTCTATGCCCGCTTTGGATTTAATAAAATAGGTGTGAAACAAAGACAATGAAGTATAGATATAGACCTGGAGTCCTGGACCTATGTAATAGCTTTAGCCTCTCCATAAGGGCTAGGAACTTAAACCGATAGAATATTGTAGAAATATAAATGTATTTAATAGCTAATACTTAGCAACTTGTCTAAATTATTGAGCATTTCTCAATTCCTTATATACTCCTTATAGTATGTTGCCAGTATTGCCATATAAAATTCCCGGGGCTGGGCGGAATCTCCCCGCATCTTCTTAAACTCCACACTTTTTTCTTCTTCACATCCCCAAAATGAACGACAATTATCTCGGATGAATACTCTGCAGATATATCCTGCTCCCGAGAGGGATAACCCGGACACGAATGAACAACCGCGGAAGAAACGTCGCAAATACATCGCCAGAGCCTGGTCAGTTTGGAAACCACGGTGTGTGGGATCTGTGGCTAACGCTGTGAAGCACTGAATGTAAACGTCGCAAAATTAAATGCAATGGCCAAACACCCTGCCAGCGTTGCGGACGCCAGCATATTGAGTGCATTTACGTTGAGAACTCTCGAGAAAGTCCCGGCGAACAAGAGTATGCCCAGCCTAGTTCGGTGCGGTTGAACACCACTAATTCCTTATTTAAAGCAACTTCAAGCAGCTTTTTGAGCAAATGAGAGCCATGCAGGACCATATTACCCAGTTGTCTGTTAGTATTCGGTCAATAGCTAGCAGCGAGCATTCTCCTGGTGTTTCCGCTACCGGCACCTATCAGCTCCCTACCCAACGTTCACTCAGGCGCTTGTCAACGACTAAAGAGATGTCATTCCAAGGCCCGACAACATCTGCCTTTAGTTTCGACCTTGCAAAATCCAGCTTGCAACAGCGTGGAATTGTGGAGCGTGCCGAGGCTGGCGACGAGGGCGAGATGACCCGAGAACCTTCACCACTGGCATCGCCGTCAGCTCCAAATGAGGAGCCTGGCACGCGCCAGACCATCGATCCACTTTGGGTTCTTCCGAAAGCCGAGGCACTTCGCCTTTGCCGAGTCTATGAGGAGGAAATGGGCATCATGTACCCGATTCTGGAGCTTTCAGAGATTTTGGAACATGTCCACCTGCTCTACGGCCCGATGGACCGCGTACTTGGACCGACCCGTCAACCCGGGAACAATGGACTGGTTCGCGAAGATGTCCATATTCTGCGCGTAGTATTTGCGTGCGCATTGACAGCCGAAGCCCGTGGTCGGAGTGAACAGGCCATTGCTCTTTTTGACAGTGTAAGAGAAGTTCAGGACAATTGTGTTTGGGGTCCGCCCGACATCAAGAGCATCATATTTTTGACTCTCGTGGTGCGTTATGCCCAATCAGCCATGAATGCTCGACATGCTAATTGCAATAGTCAATGTTCTATTTTCAAATGGATGAGGAAATTTTGGCCTGGCGCACCGTTGGTATTGTTGAGCGCATGTGTCTCGAGAAAGGTCTACATCGACGGGAAACTTTGAATCAACCGGCCATCACAGCTGTGGGGAAGGATCGCGTTCTGCGACTCTTCTGGTCTATATACATTCTGGATATGCGCTGGAGTTTCGGGACTGGCATGCCATTTGCTCTGGAGGATACAGATATTGACCCGTGGCTGCCAGAGCCCGACGAGAAGACACCCTACCTGCGCGTGATGATCCGGTACAGCCGGATTGCAGCGAAGGTATGGAAGTTCATATCAGCATTTAACAACACGAACGAAATTAGAAAGGAAGAGATGAATTATCTAGACTGGCAGGTGCTGCGTTGGGTGCACGCCATTCCAGACTCGTTGCGGCTCGATCATCCAAGTTCTGCGGAGTCTGAGACTGCCATTGAAGGCTCACGCAGCTTGCGCAGACTGCGTGCCCTACTGTATCTTCGTGCCAACCAGCTCCGCATGCTCATACATCGTCCTGTCCTTCATACTTCAGCACATGTGATGCGGTATCCTGGCGAGTCAGAGACCGTGGTGGAAATTGCTAAAGACACAATTCGCTTCATTACCCGCTTGAACGATACATCGGACATCTACCAATTACAGCAGGTGGCATTTAATTGGTTCCTCGTCTCGGCCCTCGCAGCTTTATTCCTGGCAGTAGCTCAGGCTCCAACACAATTTAGTGGGTCATGCAAGGAGGAGTTCTACTGGGCATTGGAGCTGGTCAAAGGAGTCTCAACCCAATCTTATATCTCTCGCCGGCTATGGAAGTCTATTCGAAGTCTCCGTAAGCTTGGTCCTCAACTGGGGCTGGGGGTCCAGAAAAAGCGCCTGGATATCGAAACTAGAGCCGAAAGTGAACGTATAAATGTTAACGACTCTCCCCCATTGCCCCAATCTGCCAGCACCCACAGTCATACACCGCAGGATGGGGAACAAATGACACAGGAGCTGATGGAGTGGTTTGAAGCAGTGGGAAATCTGGAGGATCAAATCATGGGGATGGGAACCGGCCCTGTACCAGATGGAGGACCCTACCAGCAGATGCCCGACGGGGGTTTTGTGTTTGATTACGGTGAAGAACTGTCGAGTGTGATGAAAGATTTTTTCTGATTATGTACGTATATCGACCGGTGGATATGCCAACAAGTCAATGCTATTCTTCCAAGCCCGTCTTCAGTTTTGTGACTATGTAAAGAGTTCTCTTGTGCTTCAGATATCACGATGGAATGTGTAGTATATTGGGGAGGAAAAAAATTAAAATGAATACATGAAGGTGGTATTTGTTCCCGGAGAAAGGCAACCCGAATACCTCGCCAAGATAAACGTTGATCTAGTAGATATATTTGAACTCCAGTTCTCCATCACCCGTCTGGACCCGTCGAGTGTCTTCCTTTTCACCACTGATAATTTGCTCCTTCACCTTGTTCTCCCGCCGCAAGTAGAGACCATATGCAACTACCGTGCCTTGCGCCACCGCAAGGGACCCCAGAGAGAAGGAGTTACCCAGCACATAAGGTGATGTGCGATACACCTGACCGGCAACAATGCCAGCACAGTTGCCGATTGTCTGCTGGAGACCAATTGCGAGAGCACGACGGTATTGTGGGGCGATATTCACATTCAGCCAGGCGATGTTGAGACCAACGGAGGTGTAGGTGGTGATACCGATGAGGAAAGTAGCAAAGTATTGGACGGCGGTATTGTCTACTGTGAGAAGAATGATGTAACCGACAACGCCGAATAGATTCGCTGCGAAGATGTACTGTGCAAAAGGTTAGTGAGGAATGCAGAAATTGCAAGGGGGCTACACGCACCGAAGCAAATTTGGAGTATCGGTCTGAGCACCAAGCAATGGCGATAAAGATCAAGGCAGCCCAAACGTAGACTGGGACAGTCAAGACGTTGCTCATTAGGGAATCATAGCCCATGCCACCCAAGATAGTGGGCAGGAAAGTGCTGAAGCCATATAAGAGAATATCCTGGCAGAACTGGACGACACTGCTAAACATCAACTTGGGATCTCTGATCGCGATGCGCATCTCTTCCCAGCTGAACTCTTCGCTTCCCATATACTTGCGACGCTGCTCGTTGCGTACCCGCATCATCCATTTCTCCTCTTCGGTGAGAAAGTAAGCTTCGGCCGGGTTATTTGGGAGACCAAACCAGATGAGAAGGGCACAGATGATGCTGAACAGGCCTTCAATGATATAGACCCATCTGGAATATTGTTAGCAATGACTTTGAAGTGGGATAGAGAAAAGCTTACCTCCATCCTGCTTTGCCGCCAATTCCGTCCATCTGCAAAAGCCCGTAGGCCAAGAGGCCACCTACAGCCCCTGAGATGGCAGCACAACTCATCAAGTAGGAAACACGCTTCGCTTGCTCCTCTCGACGGTAGACCATGGTCAGGTAGAGATTGAGACAAGGGAACAGGCCAGCTTCGCAAGCACCCAGGATAAGACGAGTGGCGTAGAGAGAGCCCACCGACTCGATAAATCCAGTGAAGATGGTAGTCAGGGACCAAACGATACAGAGTCCCGTCAGAATGTTACGAGGGGTCAACTTCTTCATCATGACCGCCCATGGTGCTTCAAAAAGAACATATGTGACATAGAAGATGGAGACAGCGGTCGAAAATTGGTCTGGTGAAGCATTGATATCCTCGGGCATATTGGCAACCTTGACATTTCCTGGTCTTTGTGAGCTTGTGGTTTTATTTTTCCGCGGGAGATGTTTATAACTCACCGATACTCGATCTGTCCAGGAAACAAGTGAGATATGTCAACATGATGATGGGGACAAAGGCAGTATCCAGTTTGGCGAGGAGCTTTGCCTCTTTCTTTGGATCCAGGACCACATCCAACTCGCTAGCGACGGCATAGTTTGCTTCTTCGACATCCTCTTTTTTCAGGGAGTCCTTGAGCTCCAAGGGAATATCTTGAACGGTATCGTGTGCCATGACTGCTATGGGGGTTGCAGCAGAATCGTCAAGATCAGAAATAATTACAGCCAGGATTTAAAGAACATCTCATACACGTGTTGAGTGGATCATAGTCTCCTATCTTCGGCCGATATAAGCCAAGACTCAAGTCCACTGAGTGGAGAGATATCGGGCCGATGACGGTGATAAGAGAGGGAAGTTGAAAAGTCGAGGGGGCCAAAAATGACCATAATGGGCCAAAACGGGCCAATAAGGAAGGTGATTAAGGGAATCGCCACACTTATGCAAGCCAATCCGATGATCCGAACAGATCCTAACCGGAAGAGGCAAGTCAATAGACGGCTAGTTTGGCGTAAAAAGGCGTAAATAGGCGTCAAAAGCCGTCAAAAGGTAAAAGAAAGGGCCAAGTCGTGGGGTTTTCCCCAACCTTTTCCCCAGACCATCGGTATGTGGATCCCGAAAGTGATAACCGAGGATATTGTAGTCAGAAGATTGTGATATGATATTAATATATGTAAATTATGAAAAAAATATGAAGATTGAATCTTTATCTTTTGTATCTTCTCCATTTGGACAACATGGTCAATACCGCTCAAGAGGCACGACTGTGCTGTCGTCAAAATCAACTCACCAATACCGCCGGTGTTGCACCGGGATACTTACAAGCCAATCTTCTGGTACTTCCATCAAAATATGCTGCCGATTTCCATGATTTGTGCCTGCGCAACCCAGTTCCTTGTCCCCTACTGGGGATGACCGCGGTTCCTGGGGACCCAAACTCCGTTCGACCGGCAGAGTGTATTCGGTCTGAAGATTTTGATATTCGGACGGATTTCCCCAAATATCGAGTATATTCAGCTGGAAAATGTATTGATAGTCGTCGTGACTTGTTGGATGTATGGACGGAGGATCATGTGGGATTTTTGATCGGGTGCTCGTTCTCATTTGAAGATGCCCTGACAGCGGCAGGGTTGCCACCCCGTCACCAAAAGACTGGTACAATAGTTGCAATGTACCGATCGAACATTCCATTATTACCCGCCGGAGTTTTCACGGGCGGTTACTGTATTGTATCCATGAGACCATATCGCCCGGAGCACATTGGGAGAGTGAGGGAAATCACTCGGGCCTATTTGTCGACGCATGGAGAGCCTGTCGCCTGGGGATGGGATGGTGCAAAGCAACTGGGAATTCTTGATGTGGCAAAGCCAGACTTTGGAGAACCGCAAACATTCGAGGAGGGTGAAGTTCCTGTGTTCTGGGTAAGTTCAAACACCATATCACATGATCACCCATCTGATTCATATAGGCCTGTGGAGTGACACCTCAGATTGCTGTCGAAGCAGCAAGTAATAAAATTGAAGGCCTGGTCTTTGCCCATGAACCCGGTCACATGTTAATCACCGATTGGACGGCAGAAGATTTGCAGAAACTCAAGCCAACCGTTTAGAAGATACCCAAGTTCTACATCTAGATTCAGAGATTATCAACTTGATGCTCTTTCTCAGCTCTATTCTCTTACTATACAGCATCAACTTCAAAGTCTGCAAATTCCACCGCGACATCATCCCCAATGGCAAAAATCCCAATGACCGGACCAGTGAAGTCGAGATCGGTCAGGATTGCGGTGTCAAGTGTCGCCAAGTCATGCCAGCCTGCCTCATCTACCCGGAACCCGAATTGCAAAGAAGTCTCCGTGTAGCCGATTTTGAAAGATATGAAATCTTGGAGTTCCACATTTTGGGTCTCACTCTGTGAGAATGACTGGGCTTGATTTAGTCCGTTGAAGACGACTTGCTGCAAGTGAAAGTCGTATCCAATTGTCAAGAATCGGTGCTCGTCTTTGTAGAGAGCCAACCCTGCTCGAACTGACGTGGAATGTTGTGGCATGTAGACAGTGACCGTCGTAGTGCCTTCAAGTCTTCGTTGTCGCTGGCCGACAAAAGTAATTGACTCGTCCGCGCTGGTAATCTCTACCGAGTCCGCTTGTAACGTAATGCGGTTGTCTTGCATATGGTATCGATCCAGTTTGGCGTCTCTCAAATAGACCCAGGGGGCCGCAAGGGAGTCTGGACCTTCAGCCTTGAAATTTCCCCCGGGATCCCCATCGCATGTGATCGGTTGAATTGTCGGCCACCCGTCGCAAGGCCAATCAACCGATGTTAGGAATGTCTCCCGTCCCATGATAGATCGTCCCTCCTTCATGCGAACCCCAAGCATGACCACCCACCATTGCCCGTTTTGATCTTGGAAAAGATCACCGTGTCCAGTGTTTTGAACATATTGAGCGGTGCCGCTCGCCGTATACAACGGGTTCATCTCGTAGGACCTATAGGGACCCCATATGTTTCTTGATCGCGCCATGCTCAGCATGTGGTATTGAAATGTGCCCCCTTCGGCACATAAAAGGTAGTACCAGCCATCCTTTTTATATATATGTGGGCCCTCTGTATATCCTTTCTTCCATCCCGTCCAGATGAGAGTGGGTTCCACAATCCTCTTCCCGGTTGTAATGTCGATTTCGCTGTTGTAGATCTCGAACTCAGGCCCCGTTTTGCACAGTTGGACGTACACCCGGCCGTCGTCGTCAAATAGCAGAGATGGGTCAATCCCGGGAAATTCAAAGACTATTGGGTCTGACCAATTTCCCGAGCGAATATCAGTTGTGTGAATGATGAACTGTTCACTATGCTCATCGCCCAGTACATTGGAAGTACCGTGGATGACATTTGTACAGATGATGTAGGTGATGCCATTGTGATGCCGAATTGTTGGGGCGTACAGGCCACCAGTTGCAACCAGTTCTGTGCCATCGTCCAACGGGCCAACAAATGTGGTCGCGCGGGATAATGACAGCTGAGATGGTCTGTTTATGGCATTTCCTAAGATATATGTCAGCGTTCCGATATATGAGTTTGAAGAAAAACGGCCTACCGATATGTTTCCATGAGACCAGGTCATTTGACATATAAATGGGCAGCCCGGGATAGAGATGGAAGCTCGAGTTCACCAAATAGAATATGCCATCGACCAGGCAGATAGACGGGTCGGGAGAAAACCCTGGGATAATTGGATTATGGTGAGCAACCGCCATGGTGAGTCCGGGATTGTTTGAGAGAGGAATTCGCTCGCATCGCCTGAATTTATGTGGCGCCAGAATTTAGCCTGTTGAGACACGGCGTATCGTCCACCACCACCCCGCATCTGATCTTCTTATTAGGCTGAAATATAAAAGAGAATTGACTCGGTGACTTTGTCCATCGACGTATTTTGAAATAAAGAGACTCCCATTGGACCGGTTATATGAAGACCTGCCATGAGATGATGCAGTATACATAAATAGTATGTTTTATATATCCTAGACCCCTCTTCTTAGAAATAACCAACTTTGATTTTGATTTGGAAATTAATACCAACATGAGTGAAGCATATGAGACGGTCAAACCTCCTAAAGGTCATTTCTATTTAGCAGGGCGAGTATTCCCTCGCGTGAAATGGTGGAAACGACGCAATATGCGAGTCCTGTACTTCTACATTTTAATTTTAATTGCAACCAACACGGCCAATGGATTTGATAACTCCATGATGTGAGTGTTTTATCCTTTTAACGTATTCTTCCTCATTCTCATTGAGATTAGGAATGGATTGCAGGCATTGTCCTACTGGCAAGACTATTTTGACCACCCCAAAGGTCCAACACTGGGTCTATTCAACTGCGTTATGAGTGTTGGTGCGCTGGCCGGTCTAGTGATTTTGCCTTATATGCTCGATAATCTGGGCCGTAGGCTTTGCTTGGTCTTTGGATCTTTCTTTATGTTACTGGGCGTGGCTCTACAGTCAGGTTCTACCAACTTCTCCATGTTTGTCGGCGCTCGATTTATTCTCGGATTTGGAGACATTATCGTCATTTGCACTGCGCCGCTGCTTATTACAGAAATTGCTCCAGCCCAAGACAGGGCAATTTTGGTCACTATATCGGGCGCCACCTACCACTCGGGGGCGTTTATCGCGGCATGGACGACATATGGAACGCTGAAAATCAAAGTAAGTGGTCGATATCAAGATCCACAGACCTGTCAGTAATGATTATCCCACAGAGCGATTGGTCTTGGAGAGCACCGAGCTTAATCCAGGGGGTCTTCACATTGGTTATGCTGGCAGTTGTGTGGTGGATCCCGGAGAGTCCGCGCTATTATGTGTCCAAAGACCAACCAGAGAAAGCTCTGAGGATGCTGGCTCATTATCATGCCGAGGGAGACGAGAGCGATGAGGTCATTCAGCTGGAGTTCACCGAAATTACAACTGCAATTGCGATGGAGAAGAATTCAGAGCATTCGAGCTCTTATATCGATTTTCTGCGAACTCCTGGTAATCGCAAAAGACTGCTCATCATTGTCTCTTTTGGATTTTTTTCCCAGTGGTCAGGCAATGGTTTAGTATCATACTATTTAAATCTCATCATGGATAGTATCGGGATCAAAGACCCAAACCAGCAATTATTGATTAACGGCGCCTTGACTTCTTATAGCCTCGCCACCAACCTTTTCTTCAGCTTCTTTGTTGACAAATGGGGCCGCAGACCAATCATGCTCATCAGCTCGGCAGGGATGATGGTTGCCTTTGTGGTGTGGACAATCCTGTCAGCAAAATATTCGGACCATGCGAGCTCAGCACTGGGGTCCGGAGTTCTGGGGATGATTTTCATTTACTATCTATTCTACAATCTGAAGTGAGATCATCCTGCTAGACAGCCTGGTATTATTGCTGATATGGTCAAGATCCGGTTTGATCGCAAGTTATACCACGGAGATTCTTCCGTATTCAATGCGTGCCAAAGGATATACCATCATGGAGTTTGCCATGTATATTGCGCTATTCTTCAACCAATATGTCAATCCAATCGCGCTTGAAAATATACAGTGGCGTTACTACATCTTCTACTGCTGTTTCTTGGCGGTGGAAGTGGTGGTCATCTATTTCTTCTACGTGGAGACGCGTTATATGCCTCTTGAAGAGATAACCAAGGTTTTCGATGGGGACGACATTGTAACTGCTACAAATCTTGAGATGGAAAAGATCGGAGAGACTGAAAAAGGGATGAGCACGGCCATTCATATTGAGGAGACCAATGCTTGAGTGAATGGAAAGTTGCGGAACCAAGAGGGTGATTGTGTGCTTTGACTATACGGCGGAAGCAGAGTTGAAGCAGAAGGATCTTAATCGTCCAAGAATGGAGCTGGTTTCATTGTCTTTTCAGCACATATGTACTATTCTAGTGTGGTTTTTCAAAAGGCTAGCCCTCAAATCACATCCGCCTCTTGATCGAACACCTTCTTTCCCTTGTACCAGGTTTGGCATACCCGAGCTTCTAAAAGAGATTCCACGGCCCAGGCCATATCTAGCACAACAAAATTGGCGTTATATCCAGGTCGCAGACTCCCTGTCCATGAGTCTGAAAAGGACGCGTATGCAGCCTCCGCAGTAGCTGCCGAGACAGCGGTTGCGAGGGAAACAGCAAACTCGGGATTGACGGTCTCTTGCGAGGAAGGGTCAATGGACGATCGCCGAGTAGTAGCGACATACAGATTAGGCAGTGCGTGATGTTCCGCAGTGGGGGCATCGGTCCCAAAGGTCAAATGAGCACCACCGTCCACGAACTCTTGGTAAGCAAAAGCGCGCTTGCAACGGTGAATTCCAAGCATCTCTGGCCATGCGCTAAATGTCGCCGGGTCTAGGTGAACAGGCTGGACTGAGGCCACGATCCCGAGTTGGCCAAGCCTTTTCGCGTCTTCGGGGGTTGTTATCTCTAAATGTTCAATGCGATGACGACATGCTGGCAGGTCCTGAATTTGGGATAAACAGTCAATAGCCTGCTGTACGGTTCGATCTCCAATTGCATGAATGGCGCACTGCAGGCCAGCATCAGTCGCACGGTGAATCGCTGCTGCAAGGGCATCAGCAGGCCAGATGGGATCGATAATGTTGGAAACTCCGCCATACGGCTGGTGTAATCCCGCTGTACACCCGTCCACGGTTCCGTCACAGATTAGTTTGATGCCATTGATGCAAAATTCCGGGGAGATTTTGCGGTTGAAGGTTTGCTGAAGTGCAATAGCGCGATCAATTTCACTGCAGATATCGGCATCGCAGTTCGAGTAGGGCACCAACCAGTGTGCTGCCACATGAACCGGAAGTTCACCACGTTGAGTTCTATATGCATTCAATGCCAACCATTCACTCTCTCCCATCGCCATATCCACGAGGCCAGTATACCCAGCACGTCGATGGGCATCGATCACAGCATCAATTGCGGCCAGCTTTTTCTCCATAGATGTCACCCGGTCCAAAAATGGCCAAACAATGTCAAATTGAGCCGCCTCCTCGAGCAAACCAGATGGGATGCCATTGTGGCAGCGATGAATTTTTCCTCCTGCAGGATCAGGCTTCGAATAAACTTCGAGCTCTCTGAGAGCTGCATTATTGCACCATGTTGAGTGGAGGTCCAATGCCTCGATGTAGATAGGTCGCGGATCTAGGTCGTCTAAGACTGTGGCGAGAGCCTGACCATCTGTAACTGACTGGACCCAGCCTCGGCACAAAATCCGTGGATCCGATGGGTGAGCTGCTGCATACGAAGTGATGGCATTTTGGATATCTCCGAGGGTCTTGCAAGGTAGAAGGTCGAGCTTCTGCAACGACATGCCGAAATTGAGGATGTGCACATGGCCATCAATAAATCCCGGAAGGACCATTCGATTCTTTAAATCCACTGTTGATGCTGTTGTTTGAACTTGAACAACCGCTTGGTCATTTTCCCAGCCCACGTGCGCGACATGGTCATCTTCGACTACCAGCGTGGAGACAAAGCGACCCGATGAGTCGGGATAGAGGATGCGGCCGTTAGTAAATACTGTTGTAACCATGTTGATATGATTGGAGAGGCAAATGTAGCAAAGCCAGTTGACTTGAAGAGGGAGATGTCAAAGTTGAAGTTGAGGCTGGGGTTCAGCTGTGGAAAACAGACGATGGCTATTGGCTGTTTGGTATAAGATTAAGAAATGGTGTAACGCCAAGAGATCAAAAGAACTTGAATTGAAAAGATTGATATTTTGAATATATCTCTTTCTTACTCTCAGTGCTTGTTTTGACTAAACGTTTACTGTTGTTTCACCTGGCTTTGTTCATTTATATAGGGACTGAGACATTCTCTCAGTCCCATGACCCATGTTGCGAATTGTATTTTCAGACAATAACTTATGTTCTTATGAATGAAAGTAATACTCGGAGTTCCAGCGCCGGTTCTATATCTATATCTATATGACAATAGCGTTGACGTTTCAGGTCAAGATCATATCGACTTTCTTTGTAGTAAGAAAGGCTAGTAAATATAGTCTATTATGGAAGCAAAGGGTTGTATAGGCTGGTAACGTTTTACTTAAGGCTCCGTTGTTGTAATTCTTATCAGTCTGACAAGAATACTCTTATAATACCCATCGGTCCTGGAACTATAGTATCTCGCGTTCATCCACAATCGCGAGGTTAATGGAATCAAGGGATCAAACTTGGAGGTAAGTACAGTTATTCATAAGATGATCTCATAGTTTCTGACAGTGGTATAGATGTGCCTGTTAGAAGTCCTTGATCATACAGGTCCCTATGGTTGTGGGCATTTTTGGATTCTCGACCTTGACCGATGTTTTACAGCTCAGTGTCTAGGGGAATTTTCTGAATGTATTCATCCATTAACAAGAAGGATTGCTCCTCATTCCAAAGAATGGCGGAAATATGTCAACTACTTTCGACCGGGGTATGCTAGGATTCCCAACCTTTGCCAAGGATGTCGAGATGGAAACGGTAGATGGGAAGGTCCTTATTGAAGTTCTTATATACTGCCGAATAGTTTGAGAAACCTGTCAAAAAGATCACAATTGAGGTTTTAGTTGCATACTACCCACCTAAATGTCGTCAATTTGCCCGCGAAGGGAGGAATTTCCGAGGGCGTTCGGCATTGTCTCCGATGCGAGACTGAATTTGTCAGCCGATTCCAAGGATATATATAGAAATGGGCAGTTCTGGTTTTCCGTTTGTATTTCTGCATTTCTGCTCTGAATTAATTGTAAAAATGGGATCTACTTCCTTTCGTTCCCCTGCAATCCAACAGGCTGAAGGTCTGCCCTATTTCACCCCCGCTAACAATGCCGGAGCAGCTATAAACCTACAACCCAACACTCCGACGCTGTTCTGCCCATTGCGAATTCGAGATGTCACACTGAAGAATCGCGTGATTGTGGCCCCCATGTGCACTTATTCCGCCGAGTCAGACCCAGCTTCTCCGGCTGTAGGTGCGCTCACGGACTTTCACATCGCGCACCTCGGGCATTTGGCTACAAAGGGCGTCGGTCTGATTCTCATCGAAGCCACATCCGTTCAGCCCAATGGTCGCATTTCACCCAATGATTCTGGCCTTTGGCAAGTCGGGACAGACTCGGAACAGTTCAAAGGACTCCGCCGCTTGGTGAATTTCGCTCATAGCCAAGGGGCCAAAATCGGCATTCAGCTTGCTCACGCTGGCCGGAAGGCGAGCACCGTGTCGCCCTGGGTCGTATCTCAGGCAAAGCAACGCGGCATCAAAGCCGACGAAAGTGTTGGTGGCTGGCCATCAAATGTGGTTGGCCCCTCTGGTGGAGAAGAGCAAATTTGGGCACCTGGCGATCAATACTGGCCCCCTCGCGAGCTAGAAACCGCCGAGGTAGAAGAACTTGTTCGGGCCTTTGCACGAAGTGCAGAGCTCGCGGTACAAGCAGGAGTGGATGTAATTGAAATCCACGGTGCTCATGGATACCTGCTTCATCAATTCCTCAGCCCCGTTACCAATCGACGAACCGACAAATATGGTGGCAGTTTTGAGAACCGAACTCGGGTCCTATGTGAGGTGGCCGCTGCAATCCGGGCCGTCATTCCAAATGGAATGCCCTTGCTTCTTCGTATCAGTGCAACGGATTGGCTCGAGAACCAGCCAGTCGCAGCAGAAACTGGAAGCTGGGATTTGCCATCCTCAATCCGACTTGCCAAAATGTTACCAGGCCTCGGGATCGATTTCCTTGATGTTAGCTCGGGCGGCAATCACAAAAGCCAACGCATTGAGCCTCATACCAACTATCAGATTGACCTCGCGGGTCAAATTCGTCAAGAGATTCACGCCGCCAAGCATGCGACACTGGTGGGAGCTGTTGGATTTATCACCCAAGCCGAGTCCGCTCGAGATATTGTTCAGGGTGCAGAGGAGGCACAGGCGACCGAGGCAATGCTGTCTGGCCCCAAGCCTCAGGCCGATGCCGTTTTAATGGCCCGACAATTCTTGCGCGAGCCCGAATGGGTCCTCACGGCGGCTAAGAAATTGGATGTGAAGATATCTCTCCCGTGGCAGTTTGCCCGAGGCTTGCTGTAAAGTGGACACATATATAGATTAATGTTTCTCATTGTAACCCTTTGATTTCCCCCAGTCATAGTACAGACTGTCGTACAATATAGCCATAATCAGCACCATAAGGCCGAGAAAGGGGGAACATCTTCGGCGATCATTTCCATATTGGCATTCACCGTCACCATTCACGGCATATTTGTGTTTCAACTTTCTCCCCAAGGACTCTCCTCCGGCCCTTCTCCGACCCAGGTGACTTGTCGTATATGAATCTGGGAGACGAATGGTGCATCTGTTATCAGCACCAACTCCCGCACTTCCCGCGCTGTCCAGTTGCAAGCCAATGATTGATCAACGTGCAACGCCAAGCACCGGGCCAAGACTCGGGAGCCGATGTTACAATGCATTTGGAGATGAATCGGCATTAGATTAGCATTGTTGATGCAGAGAGGGGGGCTTAAGCAGATAAAGCCGGGGTATAAAGTCGACAGTTCCGACTTGTACGGAGTATATCCTCTCTGTATTAATCCTACATTCTTGACTGCGCTGATTACTCAACGAATTCAGTTAGAAATTAAAGGTGAATCGGAGAAATCTAGATATTTGGCAAGGAAAACCATAATGGGCTTCTCACGCACAGCTTTGATTCTGGCCTTCGCCTTCCAGCCTTTCCTAGGCGGAGCCTTGCCTGCCCCAGCACCACCAGGAATCCCATCTACCTCTACTGCCACCAGTGAGCTGGCAGGGTTGACCGTCGCTGCACAGGGATCGCAGGATGGATATGATCGTGACAAGTTTCCACACTGGATTACTATCAGCGGGTGAGTAGATGAACCCACTGTCATTCTGAAGCTTTCGCTGAAATTATTGTCCGCAGAAATTGTAACACACGTGAAACAATCCTTAAACGAGATGGAACCGACGTGGTTCAAAGCTCCAGCTGCGGTGCTACCAGTGGATCCTGGTTTTCTCCGTACGATGGCGAGACCTGGAAGGCTGCAAGTGACGTCGACATTGATCACGTCGTCCCGCTATCGAACGCATGGAAGGTGAGCTCGCATCATCCTACAACATTGACGGCTCGAGATATTAATGAATATTGGTAGTCTGGTGCGTCCAGCTGGACCACAGCACAGCGTCAAGCCTTCGCCAATGACCTCGAGAATCCCCAGCTTCTAGCAGTCACCGACAACGTAAACTCCTCCAAGGGTGACAAAGGCCCAGAATCGTGGAAGCCTCCACTAGGTACGTCCGAAACCATATGTGTTGTTTAGAATATAGATCGCTGACATTCGAATAGCTTCATATTACTGCACATATGCCAAAATGTGGGTGAAGGTGAAATCGGTCTATGATCTTACCGTGACTTCGGACGAGAAGGCTGCTCTTGTGGAGATGCTGGGTACTTGTTGAGATATCGACTACAATTCCTTGAATCATCGGGCCTCGGGACGACATGATCGGTATAGCTAGATCATGAGGAATTTTACAGTGGAAATGAACAAGTAGTAGAAGACCAGAGAATCAATCCCAATATGAGAAGCTTCAAATTTGTACTAAACAATGTGCGTTCACCAGATTTGCCAAGGAACTGCATTTGATGAACGCCCAATTGCAAAATATCTCACTGGAACTTCTATGTTGGCAGGCGTAGAGTGCAGCCAAAGAATTATTGGGAAACAAGCCGAAAAAATTGTTGCTTCTTACACCCTGTGGGTTAGTAGCAATTGAACCGGTAGCAAGAAGGTCAACACAGAAATTATTGCTCTTATCATCTCTTCACCAAGAGGACTGGATATAATGAGATCCCAAGTGGAGTCCCTTTCAGCCAAGCATTTGCCAATTCTTTTCGGGAACCATTTTCTGGTAAGGCCTTGGGGTTATTATGGAGAAGATTACTTCTCCATGCTGCAGGAACACAAGGAAATTTTGGGGCATCGGCCAAGGTCGCTACTTTTTGTTTGTTTCGTTATGTGCCTATGCCAATTCCATTCATTTTCATCTCCAGGAGCATAGCCATTCGCCTACGACGCCTGTGGGCAAGGAAGCAATTTGAACAACAAAATTACAGCACGTATCAACACAATTTTTAGTCAATAGTCTCAATCTTGTGACTAAATCGCAATTTACAAAAAGAAAGCCTGCTTGCTAGGAGGCATATCGAGTGATGCATGATGGTTCCATAGTCAATAGTTTCAGATTCTTATGTGAACCTCCCAATAGTAGGTAATGCACTAGCAATGTAACTTTGATGCTTGTTCATTAGACCATGGTTATCCAGTTTTGAATAGACTATTCAATTCGACGAGACATGATCTTATCTGAACATGAATGGTACCGTCACGATTCTGAGCACCACGAAAGGGCCATAATAATTGCGCTCTGTCATCACAGGACCCATTCATAGCTCAGAACTGGGATTTCAAAGACAGGAGCTGTACAAGTGGCGTTGTAGAAAGCGTCATGCGTGCAGCTCAGCTCGAAGTCTGTGCTCCCGGAGTAGGTGATGCTGCTGCCGTTCTCGCACTTGATTGCATGTCCATTACCCAGCGTATAATCCATATGCCCCGTTGAACTTTCTAGATTGGTGGTTCCGTAAAAAGCAACAATGCGCCCAGCACCGCGATCGGCATATCCGCAATTGCTCTCGCCGTGGCCCATATCATGAATGCGGTACCCAATGTATTGATCGTGACAAGCCAGGCCATCCTCAAAATCAATATCCAGTGTTTCCAGCGGCCCATAGCCCCATGGCTCATAGTTGGGCATTCCAGTCCAGCACACGTTGACCATAGTCCCGTTGCACGTCGCGGGATCGGGCTCACACCACCCATTCCCACACAGACACCCTTTGGTATCGATATCTGCTTGGTTGTGGATGCAATCCAGACTGTGAGATCCGTTGTACCATTGGAAGTTGGTGACTCGCCATGTAGGAATAGGGCATCCATCGGGTGGAGTGATGGAGCGAGGTTGGAGTTGGGAGGCCGATGTGTATGGCAAAAGTGCAAGAAGACCGAGAAGAACAAGCGTTGCCATTTTTGCGGTTTGAATGGGACCTTGATATGATTGGGAAGAAAGGTAAGGGGATGTTGAGAGCGAAGTTCTATGAGCTTTATATATTGAGAGATAGAACAAAGACTGTAACCTCATAGTCGCTCTGTGGGGCCAATATCTGCATGTAAGCTCGCTAAACATCGATAGCAGATAAAACAAGAATCGAATTAGATAAAAATAGCAGAATTTGAGACATAGCTGAACTTGTTGTTAGCGTCTGATTCTTCGCAGTTATTTCATTTATAGAAATTATACCCGACTGCAAATCGGATTGAGTGTTCACTATACCCTCAGCGTAATCTTCCGGGATTTACAATTTGAATGCCTACCTAGTACGGATCACTCACTAAATAAAATAGCCGCAGAGTGGGATTTCGTTTTTCTTGTTTCTGTTGTTTTTGAAAAGATCGTGGATGAGAAGCATATATGTTAATGAACAGTTATTGTGGGAATTTTTTAGTGATATAGGATTTTCTTATAATATACTTTCTTTTACCAAGTGTGGTATCCAAAATCAAGATTTGACCTGTCATACGTATACTAGGCATCGAAAACCGGTAGTTACTTGATCAAATTGAGGACAAGTGTGAATTAGATGAGTAGGCTTTTCGAAGGTCTAAGGGGCTGGGCCAATTCTGCGCATTGATCCACAGTTGATAGAAGATATCTCAGTATAGTAGTGGATTGGTTGGTCCACTGGGAATTTTAGTACCGTAACGTACGGATATTGGAGTTGACAAATGGATCCATTGCAAGATTTCAAGGTTGGTACATGGGGTATATACATAAGCTGTCGCACGAAAACCTACAGCTATTCCCTACATGCCATACTAGCTACCTCGACCTGAACAATTGGATCAGCGTGAATTGACAGCGTCCCTCAGCAAAAGCCCATTGTGACACCATGTCCACTATGGAAAAAAAACCCAAAATTCCGGGTATCAACCAGGATAGAATCCATTCACGCCACCGTAAAGCCAGTCATTTAAGTTTGATTAATACTGCTGGGGCCGTCTCCGTATGTCAATTAACTGAATCAGAAGAACAGGAGTTAGAGACACCACTGCGATGATACCACACATCACACCAGCAGCGCCGCTTAGCCCGAGTTTGGCGTACATATCAGGGAAGTAAAATGGTCCGCACTAAATAGGCATTACAAGTTAGTACTCAAGTCAAAACAAAGTCGAAGGCTTTGGTGGATACTCACAAATCCATAGATCTGGCGACAGAGGTTAATAAAAACACCGATACTGGCAGAGTGTTCCTTGTGGCTATCCACCGCGAAGGATATGAGGATGGTAGTGAGAACCTGGTTTCCAAAAGCAGCGATAGCCATGCCGATGCATGGTGTAACGTTCCAAGTCGTTGCCTTTTCCAACTGGAAGCCCCACACAAGCAGGCCGGCGAAGACAGTGCCATACCCGATATATGACAGCCACAGACGATCCGCGGGAATGGTGTGGCCCTTCCGACGCTGTAGGAACCTTAGGAACCAATCTGACAGTGGTCCACTAACTTGTTCACCAATAACGGAGCCGATAATGATGGAGACGAACTGGTAACCTACTTGCTGGGCGTTGAAGTGGAATTTCTCGCCGAAGATTAGTGGCGTCTCAACGATAATGGCGATGTTGGCGTAGGCAAATGCGACGCCATATGCAATCCCCGGAATCAGGATGCGAGGGTATCTCCCCAGAAAAAGAGGGGCGATGAAGTTTTGCAGCTCGAAGGGGCGAGGATCGAGCCGACAAGGGACGAGCCGACTCCAGCCCTTGCTGGGGTTCTGAGAGATGTAGACATCCTTGACATACAGGGTCTCGTCACCAAGAAGAACGTAGGCAATGAATTGAACGCCGTTGATAATTGCGAATATCCAGAATATCCAGGCTACTCCTAGGTGCTGCACAACAAAACCATTTATGAATGCACCACCCGGGATTCCGATAGTAATGAGCAAGGTCCACCATCCCAACTTCCGGGCACGCTCTTCCGGGTAGCACAGCTCTGTCACCACACCGCTGCCAATCCCGAGGGGAGGGGAGATGAGCCAAGCTGCAATAGCACGAGTAGCCATCTGCGTACCGAAAGTTTTGCAGAATACGCCTCCGATGTTGCACACCATGGTACCGAGCACCGAGAACATGAAGATGTGGTAACGGCCATAGCGCATCGTAATAGGAATCCAGAAGAATGGGGCAATTCCCAAGATGAGGATCTATAACGGATAAGGGTATCTGGTCAGCTTGTATCTGGGTGGAATGACAGAAGAATACAAACCTGGACAGACGTGAGATAGCTGGCCTGAGGCACCGTGATTTTGTACTCCTCCGCCATTGCTTCATATCCAGGAATGAGCCCGGCAGCCATAAAAACGCATACCATCGAGTGGATGGCCACCATCAGGATTTGAGCATTTCGTTTCCACGTGGGCCAATTGATCGGTGCCTCCGGTGCTTGCATGTCCGAAGTCGCAATGGACACGTCCTCCAGGTGGCTTGAGGCTTCAAATTGATTCTTTCTTATGCTTTCCAGAGCCATACTGTCTGATCCAGTGGCTACCGAGGGCGACAGGTCCTTGCTCATTCTTTTTGGCGGAAATTGTGGGCGTCACGCTTAAACGAAATAGATTGCTTGATAATCCTTGGGTCGACGAGGGCTAGAAATGCAATTGTTGAACAAAAACCAATTGACGCAATATAAAAGGCCTAGAAGAAATGGGCAAATAGTTGACCTTGAGAAGAACAGGGGGTCTACTCCATAAATCTTGCGGGGCCCCATGGGGAATGCTTTACGGGAATAATTCCGCGCCAATATGCGAACACATATAGTGACTCTGTTTGGAAATTTTAATCGCCCATCCACCTACTCTTGGACACCGATGTAGACGTCGGAATCCATCCCGATAAGGGGTTCCGGGGCCGAGGTTTAGATGGAGATCCACTCGTAGACTCGGGATCAATTCCGGGGTTGAATCGAAAATAATATATAAATGCCCAGCGAATATACCTCAATGCCGAGGGGAATGCCGACGGCAGCTGGTCCGAAACATTTGAAAGGGCGGAAGTCTGCGCTGTGGGCCAAGTGTATTAGAGAAAAGATCCCTAATAGCTGACATGGGGAGGAATGAAGAGAATCTAGAAAGCCCTGGAGGAAGGTGACAAACTGGGGGCCTCAGGCACTCACCTAAAGCCCTTTCCTCTCGACATAATAACTCAAAATGACTCCGGAAGAAATGGAAGAGAACCTCTAATCCTTCGCAAAATATTCGGCCACATGGAGTCAGTACGATGATCCCCATCAACCTGGCCAACCAGACATTAAACCAAAAAGATCCAGATCTCCCCATCTCACGCTCACCTTCGAAGCAAAATCCGATCTTGATGTCGTTTACGAAAACTTTTACCCATTTTATTACGCGAAACGCAGATGATCTATAAAAGGAACCATCCGTCATCCACCGGGACCCTGTCGAAGATGGATTTGGCCATCTAGCCAAGATCAATCTGACACATAATGCGCTCAGTTGACAATTCAAAAAGCCCTCAGAATTTGATGAAGTGTGCGCTTCATCAATATAGCTGCGAGTATTAGAAAAGCAGCGGTTGAAGTAAAGCAAGTCATGGGCTTCACCAGCCTCAGCGCTCGTCCCAGCCCTTAGTCAAGCCTATCCTATAGCCATGAGAGCGTAGCAACACACAATAGCCAACGGGCATATCGTATCTAGGACGGAAAAACTAGGGAATTAAAGGAAGTTGATTAGAAGCCCCCAACTGGCGTTGCTGCTTGCGGTGAGAAATTTCACGCCGGTGATGGTATTGACCTGGATGGAGACTAGGTGACTGGGGTCTGGAAATTCAGGTTTAACAAATTCCTCGAGGACTACGCGATGACCTAGATGGTCGGGGTAGTGGAATATCTGCTGCCAGCCAGACATTTAGGGAGTTTTAAGCGTGAAAGGAGGGATAAATGAATATTTGCAAAGCGAGAGATGATGTTGATTAAGAGATATATACTGTTCATCGGCAGCTCGTACCAGCAAAGTGCAAAACGGTTTTGCATTGCCGATCAAAGATACAAAAAAAACATAACGCCCAAGCCAAATCCCAAGAGGAAAAATAAAGATGCCATGCCATGCAGAATGGAATGCTTTTATTCCTGAAGACAGATGTTGTTGCCTCCAGCTTTGCTCTTGCAAGTGAATTTTGGACAACAGCCACGGTCATCATGCCAAACCTTCAGCCAACACTAAAGGGAATCGTTGAGTTCAGCTTTTTGTTCCAGGTAATGTTTGATTAATGTGACATCCTGCTTCTTAGGACTCGGGGATTGACATACGAGCAATATTCCGGATATTTGAATCTTCAGATGGAAGAGCCGCCGCTACAGAAGCAAGACCGAGCAGTATAATAAAAAAAGACTTCATTGTGATTCATCTTAGACGAGTGCGTATTTTTTAAATGGAAGTTCAGACTGTAGTGGTCGAAAGATAATATGGAATGTGGTCATAAAGTGGGAAATCGATGATCTCGATACACGAGTTCTAGGGCTCTATTATCTTTAAGCCGTTTGATTTATGACCTCTAGGAGGCGCACGAGTCATACAGTCTACACTATTTCAAAGTGTCTAGTGGAAATAGCACAGTTTAATTTGGGCTGTATACATATCATATATGGTCTAGATATGTAGGTAACCACAGAAAGAGGCAATATCCATTGACCACTATAACCAGAAAATCCCTAATCTACCTATAACGCAGATCCAAATTATCATGTAGCATTCTCTCTGATTATATCGTTTGTATATTAGAGATCTTGCACTGTAATGACTTCCTAGTTCCTCCCTAACTCACTTATCATGATACTTCAAGGACCATCCACTCGATAACCGATCACAAGCTTTTTACTACCCTCAGTTCTATCAAATTTTATTAGGGAGCTAGCAGCTACTACGAAGACGGTACTGATACACCGCCTATATCAACTGCATGAAAATTCAGTTCCTATTGTCATCTATGTAGAGTGAATATCACATATATCTATATGCGGTCCCTCCTATATCATATACAACATCGCATACATTTATGTGAAGTGTATGTCACCAATGTGACAAAGTTCTTCTCGTCTGAACGATAATCCCCCCATTCCTAATATTGCCGTGGTAAAAGGCACAAACTCTCTAGGTCTCGAACCCAACTTCCTAGTTTAGGTACTACCCTAATAAGTATGGCATATGATAACGCAGCTAATAATGCCACTATTTAGGCCGCTATGCTCCTCAAGATCCGCATAGGGTTCCTTCCTTGATTGAGCATCGCTGGATAATGACAGATGAAACCAAGAGCTAATCGGGATCTATAGGGACCTGTGAACGCTTAGAAAGGTCGGTAGGAGATACAACTCTAAACGCATTTTCTAGACCCCCACTCTTGGGACTTTCAAGCCGTCCAAGTAGTGTGCGGCACGATGAGGTAAAATGGGGGGAGTTTGTGTGTTGATATTTGCCTTCAGGTGTTTCTCCAGACCGGGTTATATATTTGGTACGCATGGTACGGGATGGCGTAGATCGATGGAGCTTTCTAGAAAAACCAACTTATTTTCCATGCCAGAAATATATCAAGGTTTAGAAGATGGATATAAGGTGTATTTAATAGTTTCTGATGCCGTAAGAAGGGGTATTACAGAAAGCTAGAAGCATTATTGATCAAAGAGTGCGAAGTAGGTAAGGTACTAGCAAAGAGGTCATGGGTGGGCTTGGACGGACCAAAGCCGAACCAAAGCCGACCGAGCCCGGACGAAAAATACAGGACCCCTTGACAATATCAGCGTTGATCCTGCTAAGATGCATCGGGAATTATTAAATCCATCTTATATCGTCGGATTGACCAAGAAGTTTAGGGTTGGTGCATAATTGTCTGACCTCAGATAGTTGACGCAGAAATGAGAAGACTGAAGTGGAGTTGATTTCAACTTTGAGTATGGTTGAATGTCTGAGTGTCCAGGCGATGGTTAGGGCTGTCTATAGGAGCGTGTGTAATCCTGATATAGTAAAATGGAGTTATAGCTACTGTATGTGGGAGCGGAAGAAGGAAGAAGGTTTGATCTGTGAATCTATGAAAAGGGAGGGTATAAACACCCTGGATATCTAGTAAGCAGTCGCTCGATCTGCCATCAAGTAAGTAGTGGGAGACGGGCTGTACAACAAATAGTAAGAAATATACCAAGAATACATCATAAGCCACAGAATCAATCAAGTGTTTACTCTTTTGAGACTACTCAACTAACGTGATTGTTGAAGTCCACGAAGTAAATCTGAGGCCTACTATAGCAGCAAAGAGGTTATTGACTGGGAACTAAAAGCAATTGATAACCTGCCTGCAGAACCAACAAGGACCAAACACCGGAATCACCGGAATTCACTTGTTGGCCGCAATCCCAACCCGCTCTTCTCATACGCCATATCAATCATTTTCATCTAATCCCATGAATCCTGACCCTCGACCCAATATTGCGTGGAACGCCCCTTGACACGATTGACAAACTCTTCCAGCTGGTACCGATATGACATCCACCAGTCCTCACCGGGGAGGGTCGCAAATTGACCCCCAGCCTCCTTATAACTGTAAGCCTTGTGCGACTTGGACTCGGCCCAAGTATTGACTGGCATGCGATCACGTTTGTGACGAATAGTGAAGGTATCCGCGACATCAATACGATGCCAAATAAAAGCGTGTATGAAACCATGTAGCGTCACGACGCGGGTACGTAGCTTTTCTTGTGTCTCAGGGAGGGACTTGTCATCGACCACGACTTCCTTATGCGTGACCCGGGCCTCGGACGGTTTCCACAGGATAGACCTGCGCATAGTGGTGGAGGCTTCTTTGGAGGCGGGGTTTAAAGGTAGCCCGGTTCAAACTACAGAGCCCACTTAGCATAAATGCCAATCTCTCATGCGAGACAGTGACACGTATGCATGTCTGGGCATCGACGCAGTCCTACCATTATCAAAAGTGGCTTGTTGCACTTATGCATCGTGTTAAGCACAACGCTTGGATCCAGATGCTTAGTCCTCCCTTCATACATAGTTTGGTCTGTTTCATTAGGAAATAATATGCCTGTGGTGATGTTCAAGCCAGGCCGTTCTTAAGCACTGTTATAATGGGGGAAATACGGGGTGTATAGGCCTTCTAACCGCGATAATTTATAGCACGGCTAGCTTATCACACCCTAGCTTGGACTTGTAGTGGGGAATTTGCATATTTCATAAGATTATTGAACACGCACGCCGCTGCAGTACCTTGGACGCGAAAGGTCCGTTTTTCCGACGGGGCGCTGGGTTCAAGGCCTGAGTTTTCTGTAACAAATTTCTAGCATCGTGCATGTGTATTGGCTTTATTAATCCTACCCTTAAATCAAGTGTAATAGTGTCATGGCCGTCTGAACGACCGTTTTATTAGCAGGGGGGTCTGTAGAAAATAGTACAGTAGAATTGGAGCTAACTAGCGGCACTTTAGTGACCTGTGTTCCTTCATGCCATTCCAGCGCATTCGAGATTTAGGGGAATAAAAGAATACGTACTGATTAGAGGAAGCCAATTCATGTTCACGAACGGGCTAGGACAAGATCCATGTAGAAACTGAAACGAAGTCAAGAGGCCTTAAAGAGAGCGAGGAAAGGAATACTCCAGTACATCTTATCTCCATGGCAGCCGCACCGATTGACTCGAATATTCGAATATTGTTCCTGTGCATATTGTGCTAGTAATCTCTTTATCAAGGGCGCAGGGAATTGTTTCCCAAGGAGGCATTCGTGTTTGCTCCGATAAGAACCCTCATTCGCCAAATTCCCTAGTGAACACCCCCTTTCACTCTCAAGTGATCTTAACGTCATTCACCCAAGTTCCATCTAGGGACACGACTACATCCGAGACACCACGCTGCATATGATGGTCATAGTCGGCCTCATGCCTGCTTAGTACCTCGAGTGTGGTGAGTATGAACACACCAGATCCGTCTATCATGTTAAGTAATGCTCCCTGCAACTATGCTAAAGCTGTGACAATGACATGTCGAACAAAGCCGTCGAAGTAGCCTCATTTGCTACATGCAGAACCGCATGTCGAGGGAATTATTTTGGGGCATTTCAAGCAGCGGTGACATGGTTGCAGGATATATTCTCAAATTTCGGCTCTCAGATTTCTTGTGATCAAAGGATCATATGTCATCGGCAGCTCGCGGCCCCGTGTTCTTTATAAATATTTACCAATCTCCGCGATACAATCAATTCGGGACATTAGGGTTTGATGTTTGGCAATAGACCCGGCCGGATTGTCGGACTGACGATAATGACCGTATCGTGCGACTTCTTCCGCGAGGACTCTATTCAGATTCTGTATGTCCGCGTAAATCCGTCCTTTGTACCCAATATCTGTTTGGGCATCTCAACAAAAGCCATCGTATGTCCCGCCTATCGCGGTCTTGACCAGCTATTTGTGGTATGGTCTTTGCGCATCCAATCTTGCCACTTGAGCATCCGAGGAGGCCTCACCACACTTTGAAATCCAAGACCATCAATCGCTAGGAAAGCTTGCGTAAACTGTCGATCGAAAGGCGGAAGCCTTCCGGATGGCCTTTTTCCAACATCTACCGCCAACGGATCTCTTCCGACAATGTCTCGTTTCAATCCTTATAGTCATAGAATTCCCACTACTTACAGCACTAGATATAGAAGCTGTGAAAACGGCAAAGGCAAGAAAAGCACTAGGAGATGATGGCATCCCAAACCCCCTATGGCATATACCCAGTACGAGCCATATCGGGAAAATGAATTCATTAACATCATCAGCATCATCACCGTCATTATATATGTATGGACCCTAAATGAGATATATAATGATAGTACCATGGCAACATACAAACTGGAATCATTAGACCATTGGTAAAGGTATGTTATTCAATTCGACGATCTGCGAAAACCTTTCCACACCTATGACTTAGCAACAACTAGAAGAACGTAACTTTACTCAGAAGAATCTACGTTGTTCGTGGTGATATTCTTGGCAATTTTCCCCCTTCCAGCCCCCCTACTCCCCCCTGCCCCCCGGGCGCCCTTTGCGAATTCTCGCACCGACCGCGTCACATCAGATCCCCAGCTTCCATTGACAAAGTGGTTTCGACCACTGCTTTCATTCGTTATCCTCCACGGTACTAGACTTCACCAATGGAAGTGATCTACCTCTTCCAGTCGCAAAGTCTTCGCCGAACCACTTACAAGTTTCAACCTACCCCTTAGTCCACGCTCCTTTCCTTACATCCATCCCAACGAAGCGAAGCGTAAACTCTTACCCCGTTCGGAAAAGGGATTCTTAAGGAAAATAAGCTCCGCTCTCAAGCGGCGCTCTATCATCTCGCAACTTCGTCGTTCAAAATGCCTACTTCACTGACGCCGCAGCAAGCAGGAGAGCTGTGAGTTCACGTTATTGGAGCCTTGCCGATACTTTCACTGACCAATGTTGGTATCTTCTATAGAAATAAATCCATCATAGCCTATCTGTCAGCGAATGGCCTTCCGGAAACCCTCGCGGCCTTTCAGAAAGAATCGGATCTTCCAGATGACAGGTTTGACGCGACCGCAGCGAAACAGTATGAAAATCTACTAGAAAAAAAATGGACTAGCAACTCTACCTTAATGAAAAAGGTAGCAACCCCCTGTTCTATTTGGGCAGATTTGGTCAATGCTATAACTCCGTTACAGCGACACTGACAATTTCTGCCTAATAGTTACTGGCCCTCGAATCCCGCAATGAAGCCCTCCAAAACGAGCTCAACTCGACCCGCGCTTCTTTCCTCAACCGTAACGCGGACGTCAACAATTGGCTTCCTCAACATCCGATACGCTCGTTGGAGTCGCATCGTGATTCCATAAATTGCATAGCTTTCCACCCTAAATATTCTTTAATCGCGTCCGGCTCCAGTGATTTGACAATACGGATCTGGGACTGGGAGGATGGTACACTGGAAAGGACACTCAAAGGACATACGATGGCGGTATGTGACGTCGACTATGGCGACACATCCAGCGGGGTTCTCCTGGCTTCCTGCAGCTCTGATTTTACGATCAAGCTGTGGGACACGACGGACGATTACAAGAATGTCAAGACCTTGCGAGGTCACGACCACATCGTCAGTGCTGTTCGTTTCATACCATCGGGGAACCTTCTTGCCAGTGCAAGCAGGGATATGAAAGTAATATTGTGGAATGTCGTTAATGGCTACCGCGTGAAAACTATAGAGGGGCACACTGGATGGGTACGTGATATTTCGCCGTCTTTTGACGGGCAGTTCCTTCTGTCTACCGGGGATGATATGACTGTTCGCCTCTGGGACATTTCTGCCAGCCAACCGATATGCAAGTTCACAGCGACTGGTCACGAAAATCGTATTCTTTGCTGTGCAGTTGCCCCAGCGGCATCCTTTCGATATCTTGCGTCGTTCTTTGAGTCAAAGAGGTCGACGAGGGCTGCTGGAATCACGGCTGAAATCATGGCGACTGGCTCACGTGATAAAACCATCAAACTATGGGACTCTCGTGGACGCTGCATCATGAATCTCACCGGTCATGCCAGTTGGGTGCGTGCGATTGCTTTCCACCCGGGGGGAAGTATCTTCTTCGGTATCAGATGACAAAACAATGCGTTGTTGGGATTTGAACCAACAAGGCAGGTGTGTGAGGTCTATTAGCAATGCACATGATAAATTCATTACTTGCTTGAAGTGGGTCCCGGGAATTGTGAAGGATACACGCAATGGCACTAAGACCATCTCTTACCAAAGGAAGGGAAGCCCAGAATTGCCGAAGAGCAAATTAGATGAGAGAGGCCAACCTGGCTTGCAAATTCGTTGCGTGCTAGCTACGGGGGCCGAGGATCAGAAGATACAAGTCTTTGCTTTGCAGGCTAATGACCGCAGTCACGAATAAATCCATTCGCCGTTTAATGAATATGATTTTATTCGCTTGTTTTATGAACCTAACTCTATCCCATGGGAGGCGGGTAGATGAGGCTCATTCGACTTTATAATTACTTTATATACAGGTATTCTATATATCTGGTTGGTCTATCATAAGTGGGGACCACCCTAACTCTATTCCAGGACAAATACCTGCCAGGTATTTAGATTTTAGGTGGTTTGATTGGCTCCCGGAAAGTGGGGGGGGAACCAGGTATTTCGACTCATAAATACCTAGTCTAGACTACTCCGATTAGTCTGAAAATTTGTAAAGTTCTATTCTAACTATATCTAAAGGTGCTATCAAAATTTAGAGTCGATAGCTACCCGGGAAGGTAGTTAAATATTAAGTTGAAAATCGATCTTTTTTTTTAGTGGGGTGCGACCGTAGATTTCAATACGTGATCCCGTACAAATCCGTATCTATCTTATCTTAGTAGCCTAGTAGTAAAAATATCATATTATATTCGTATTTACGCGGGTGCGTAATTTTAATAGTGGCCACTACGAAAATATATCTTTTTAATTTTTATTCTTTAGGTGATTAGCTATTAGGTAATTATATTAAAATTATACAATAGACTATTATATAGAGGAAGAAAAGGGCTATAAAATGCACTATTCAGATTCTTTATAGCTAGGCTATAGGGGGAGGTATTAATAGATTTAGATAAATTTATAAAAATTACTACTATATCAACTTCGATATATATATATCTATACTATATATATAGCTATATAAGTGTATAGGTGCTAGATATTGAGGATTACGTAGTAAAAATTGAAAATATCCTACTATATTTCTTGGTATAATAGTATATTATAGTAGAGTATAATGGTGTGAAGGATATCATATATAAATTACTGGTAACTATTACTATATCTAAGGATATACTAATAGTGGTAAACTATATTATGATTCACTTCTAAATCGCCATAAATCGTGAGATAATATGATATCTTATATTATCTTATATTTGCCTCCTAAAATGTCTATAAAAAGGTTGACAGTCTACTCTCTAATAGAATAATAATATACTTCTTAATATATTCTCCTCCATATACATATATCTTTATCTCCTATTTAGGATAAGTATAACCTTCAATACTATATCTTATATAATCATATTATATAAGATATTACTTCCTCTATAAAATATTATAACCTACTATTAGGCTATAATATTCTATCTGCTAAATTACTCATAGGTTATGAGCCCGGCCTGCTACCTATTTCCTATTTAGGAAATTCCGAAGCAATTCCGAATTATCACCGGAGTAAATTCTATCCCGAATTATCTCCGAATTATCTCCTAGATATCTCCAAGATATCTCCGAAGTATACTATATATAGTAATCATACTATAATATAGTATATTAAAATATTACTATATACTATTTAGTATATAGTATACTATATATAGTACTCACTATATATAGTAAAAGGATTATATACTATATTACTTTATATAGTATATATATATTATATCTTACTATGACCTCTATAGATAAGATATACCTCCCTAAACTTAGGGGTTCGGAAAATTATATTATATGGTCTATTAGAGTAAAAGCTGCTCTAATAAAAGAAGACCTATATACGCCTATAGAAACTGCTTCTATAGGTGTAAAAAACAATAAGGCTATATCAGTTCTTAAGCTTTATTGTGATGATGGACCACTACTATATCTGAAAGATATAGAGAGTGCTAAAGAAGCCTGGTTACGTCTCGAAACTCTATATAATCCTAAGGGATTTACTACGGAGTATTTAACTCTTAAGGATTTCTTCAATACTACATTGAATGATTTTAATTCAATGGAAGAATACCTTAATAGGGTTAAAACCTGTTATGGGGCCGTCGTACTTCGTACGAAGCCCTATGGAAGATGCTTGCTTATGCTGCGCGGAATCTGCCAAACGTTACCGCCTTCGACGGAATATGTACACATTTGTTAGCTCAGGAGAACTCCTCTCCTCAACGAAACCTTCTTGTTCTTAAAACCCGTCTAAGTTGCACAACTAGGCTAGTTCCGTAACATTAGGTTTCGTTCGTCACCTTTATCGACGCTTAGTAAGGAGTTCCTACTAGTACAGAGTGAGAGACAAGATGTCTTACCAACCACGACGACATAATACCTTTGATCACGACAACCTACCAGACGCACTACCGGCACAACAAGCGATGGGAGAGATCTTCCCCCCACCACGAGAGAACGATAGGATAGAAAGGGGGCCGACCCGGCCAACTTACCCCGATGTACGAACCTACAATGGACAGGACCCTAAGGAGTACGCAGCCTTTCGTACGAACTTGAAAATCAAGTTCTTGATGGATGCCCACTACTTTCACTCCGAGGAAATGAAGACCTACTACGCGTTTAGTAGGCTAGAAGGCATTGCGAGCCAGCAAGCCCACGCATGGATCGTAGCAATGGAGAATGAGAAGAAACCCCTCCTTCTCAATGAATTTTACCAAGCCATGGATCTCTACTTTGAAGACCCAGACAAGGAACAACGTGCCCTCGTACGAGTAAATTCGATGAAGCAGGGTAGGAGGAGTCTCCACGACTTCCTATCTGAGTTCGACCAGACACTAGTTACCGCGGGTGGATTACACTGGTCCGATGCCCAGAAGATGGCCCTTCTCCGGACCGCAATCAACGTCGATCTACTCCAGAGTACCGTCGGAGCTGAATTCGCTTCGTACGATGACTACCGGAACCGCCTTCTTCGGATCGACCACGACCTTCGGCAGATTGAAACGCTCCAGAAGAAGAAGTTAAGACCCTTCTTCCGTGGCAATCTCAGCAACACCCAAGACGACGCCGGCAGGATGGACTGGGAACCTACTCAAGCAACTAGGATCGCCGCCCTAGAAGCCGAGATCGCGGCCCTAAAGACAAACCAAAGGAGCAGTCCTTCTCGTACGAACGAACGGGCAAAATGGGTCTCCCGGGAAGAGATTGACCAACGCCGAATGAAGGGGGAATGCCTACGCTGCGGACAGAGAGGGCACCTGATTGCGGGCTGTAGACTACGGCCTGCCACCCGACCTCTAGAGGTGAACGCTGTCGATGCAGATGGAGACAACGACTCGGGAAAAGAATAACCTTCGTACGAAATCGTGTACGGAGGTCGCTAGATACTTCAAAATTGAAACATTCTGTTTGGGAAGAATTTGAAGCCACGCGTATGAACTCCCCACCGTTTGTCATTGCCGCGACCCTAGACCGACAAGCTATGGCCCGTACCTTAGTCGATAGCGGATGCCTATCGTACGGAGCTATCAGTGAAGCCTTTGCGAAAGAAAGGAACTTAGAGACTTTCGAGATCCTACCACGAACATTAAGAGGAATAGGAGGAAAGGGGACGATTTCACAAATCGTACGAACCTCCCTCTCAATTGACCACCACTTTGAGAAAGAGACCTACTTCTATATGATCCCTGATTCCATCGGATACGACCTGATTCTTGGCCTACCCTGGCTGAGACAACAGAACGCTTGCTTCGAACCTTTAAGGAACCGGTTATATCTTCGATCATCGAAAACCCGCCTCTATGGGATCGGCAAAACTCCTCTCCCCGATACTACAGAGATCTCGGCACTCTCAATGCATAGAGAGATTCAGTCAGCAATAAAAGACCATAATTCGTACGATTCCCAAATCTTTGCTGTCTCTATGGCCGATATCGAGAAAGCATTGAAAACCAAGAAACCAAAGGACCTAAAGGTGGAACTCCCCACTGAGTACCACGAATTCCTCCCTTTATTTGACCCCGACGAAGCGACTAAACTCCCACCACACCGCGGGGAAGGAATCGACCATAAAATCGAACTTATACGAGAAAATGGTAAAGAACCAATAGTCCCCTGGGGGCCCCTCTACAATATGTCGAACGAAGAACTTCTAGTGCTACGAAAGACCCTAAATGAGCTCTTGGATAAGAACTTCATTAGGGTTAGCAAATCCTCAGCAGCAGCACCAGTGCTATTCGTACGAAAGCCAGGAGGAGGGCTCCGTTTCTGCGTCGACTACCGAGCGCTAAACGCTCTCACAAAAAAGGACCGCTACCCCCTTCCCCTGATTCATGAGACGCTGAACCAGATCGGACGAGCGAGATGGTTCACGAAACTCGACGTATCAGCCGCGTTCCATAAGATCCGGATTGCCGAAGGAGAAGAATGGAAAACCGCGTTTCGTACGAGGTACGGACTTTACGAATGGCTTGTTACCCCCTTTGGCCTGGCCAACGCGCCGAGCTCATTCCAGAAATATATCAACTGGTCCCTACGAGAATACCTAGACGATTTCTGCTCCGCCTACCTCGACGATGTATTGATCTATTCGGAAGGGAACATCGAAGATCATCGAAAACACGTAAAGAAGGTCCTCCAGAAGCTACAGGAAGCTGGCCTACACTTGGATATTGGGAAGTGCGAATTCGAATGCACCGAAACCAAGTACCTTGGCTTTATCGTACGAGCAGGAGAAGGGGTTAAGATGGACGCTGAAAAAGTGCAAGCGATACTCGACTGGGAAACACCAACCACAGTCCGAGGCGTGAGGGGATTCCTCGGCTTTGCCAACTTCTACCGACAATTCATCCCAAACTATTCAGAAGTCGTACGACCTCTTACCCAACTCACGCAAAACAACGTCCCCTTTGTCT